GGGGTGAATCGCAGAACCTGGCCTTGGGGAGGCAGGGAGAGTAAATCCGTCCCTGCTCAGAAGCCCATGCACCCCCTCCCTATTGGTCTCTATTTACAGAGTGGGAAATATAGCACATAGTGATCTCTATATACACAGTGGGTAGTATAGCACACACTGATCTCTATATATACACCAGACATCTCAACTCTCCCAGATGTTCCAAGAGTCTCTCGCTATAAGAAAAAAAAAAAAGCAGATAGTAGGGGAAGCATTAGCTCCTCTGCTATCTGCCATCATTTCAGGGAGAAGCCTTCTCCACCTCCCCACCCGTGGATGCAGGAGAGGGGGAGGGGGATGGCAGAGAGGACACCTCCCTAAAATGAGATTTTGCAGGTTTGGATGTCTGACACACTGACCTCTATATACACAGTGGGGAGTGTAGCACACCGGGATCTCTCTAGGGTTACTACGGACGCGGCACGGAGTCTGAGAGGGAACCCGTTGGAAACCTACCCCCCATTCAGAAGCACGTCGGACATAGGTGCTATAGGTAAACCCCCGGAGAAGCCAGTGAATTAGCACAGCAGCCAGGCAGCTAGCATTTTCAGAAACTGAGGTCAACAAGGATAGCCAACATACTTCTCTGAGCATAGGTTTCCTTTAAACGAAAAGCTAGATTTATTATGTTGCTGTATGCCTTTGAAAGATTTTTTGAGAGCAGGAAGCACAAGGAGAGGAAATGATGTGGGCACAGTGTGGTTTCATTAGATTAAGCTTGTGATGAGTAAGCGTAATAGAACACTGACAAAGAAAATCAATCAAATATATTGATGCAATTATGGCACAACCACAGATAGATACCTTTTTATGGAGGAGTAGAAGGAGCAAGCTGAAATGAATTGTTTTGTGCTTACTGTGATCTCCATACAAAATGAATGCACTCCAACCATATTTGTATATTGATGAGACACACAGGAGCTTACACCAGAATCATGAACCTTCCACATAACCTGCAAGCAGTATACTTGTAGACATGCATTTCAAATGATTGTGACTAGGTGGACTACACTACTGCTCTGTGGCTGACTATAAATCAAACCCCGGCAGTTTAAATACCTTGAGAAAATGGCAGACAGGGCACAGACTAGGGATGTGATGGTGGCAGTCTCAGGTCTCGCTATTGCCACTAGAATGTGACGACACTACACTCTCTGACACCACCACCACCACCAACTGTTCTACAGGAAACACGCACCATTCACAGTGTCTGCTGTATCAGTTCTGACATGAAACCTTTACACTCAAAAATCTAATTCTACCAATGCATCTCTATGTATGATGATTAATAATAACATAGACATGTCAGGTGTAACATGCTGTGATTGTGAAATACGTAAACTGGCAGAACATTCACTTCCTGCAAATGGCTTCAGTTTGCCAAAGCAATGCACACTAGGATTGCATTGTCATCGGCAGAGCATTGCTGGGGAATCTCATCTGTAATTTCATAAGATGTCAGGGAAAGGCATTTTCCTCCCCTGAGATGATGTGCATGGTCACATGTGCCAGAAATCAGGAAGTAAAAGGGAGAGCTAGTAATCTGCCCTTAGTAAACATGGCCACTGTTCAAAGACCGGGGAAGAAAAGAGAAATGTGGTATGCAAAGAATACAAAGCCGGCAATTATCTAGAAATATGTGTTTGTAGATTGTCATTACTAAACATTTCTAAAGGTGTGTTTGTTGTCATTTTAAAGATATGGGTAATGGTCCGCCTTCAGAATTGTTCGTAACACTCTTTGCCACACCAGACAGAAATGTAACAGAGTTTAAAATATGAGCTTAACAGATATGACACGAGAGAGCCCAATGCACGTGTGGGGCTTTGAACAAGGATGACGCTCACTCCTGTGATGCTGAGCATCAAACCGATGGCTCATCCTGGCAACTGGACAGGAACGGAGCTGTGCTGAATATTGGGGTGGAGGGGTGCAAATGAAGATACATTAATGTGCTGCTTAATTTATGGTTACTTACTTGGGCTTCTGGACTGTATAAGCTACTTTTTACAAAGGTGAACTAACCCTTTAATTTCTGTATTAGAACATTTAGAGATTCTGTCATATCATTCTAATGAAAATAAAAATGTTGTAAGAAAATATTTGGAGAAAATGTATTACAAAACAGATATAAGCAACAGTAAAATAAGTGGGATTAATAGTGAAAAGTACTTCGCAAAGTGCACTTGGTCTCGGGGTCCTATGGTCTGACAGAGCCATTGGCTCTCATAAATGACTTAGCATTCCTTCATAAATCTTAGTAATCAAGAGCTACAGATCGCAATAGCAGATGCTATTTGTTACATAGTATTTGAGGTTGAATAAAGACATAAGTCCATCAAGTCCAACCTATTGTGTGTATGCATTTATGTTTGAGCAGGTGTGTGCGTGTGTATGAGTCCATGTGTGATTTGGCTCCTAAGAGTACCTGTACCCTCGTATGTTACGGTCTCCAAGGAACTCGTCCAGGACTTTCTTGAATGATTCCACACTCTTAGCTGAAATCACTTCCCGTGGCAGTGAGTTCCAGACCCTAACCGCGCTAACTGTGAAGAACCCCTTGCGCCCCGTGTGTAGAAAAAAATGTTCTACCAATTTTTGGTGGTGCCCTCTGGTCTTTGTTACGGAGCTAACCATAAACAGTTTGTTAATAATGTTGCTGTCGCCGTTGAACAGTTTATACAAGAAAATAATTTCCCCCCCTTAATCTCCTAACCTCCAACGAGAACATATTTAATTATAACAGCCTTCAAACCCCTTAATGAGTTTGGTTGCTCTCCGCTGGACTTTTTTTTAGCTCAAGGACATCTTTTCTGAGTACAGGTGACCAAAACTGGACCGCATACTCCACATGTGGCCGAGCCAGTGATCTGTAAAGTGGCAAAATTATAGACTTGTCCCTGCAATACATTCCCTTCTTAATGCAAGACAGGACTCTGCTTGCTTTGTTTACAGCAGCCTGGCACTGCGAGCTGTTCTTCAATCTGCGGTCTACAGTGACCCCCAAATCCTTCTCCATTTCTGACTTCCCTAGTGGCACACCCATAAGTGTATAGTCCATTTGCCTATTTGTAACTCCAAAGTGCATTACTTTGCATTTATCGACATTGAACTTCATCTGCCATACAGTTGCCCACTCCCCGAGTTTATCCAGGTCCTCCTGTAATGTTATAATGTCTAAATCTGTGTCTACTAACCTCCCAATTTCCATATCATCAACAAACACTGAGACATGGCTACTCACTCCCCGATATCAATAATAAACAGGTTAAAAAGCATGGGACCCAGCACAGAACCCTGGGGCACGCCACTCATGACCTCTGCCCAGTCTGAAAAGGTGCCATTTACTGATACTCTTTGTACACGTTCCTGTAACCAGTTTTCTATCGACGTGCACACTCTTTCTCCTATACCCATAGCCCTTAGCTTGTATAACTAGCGTTTATGTGGCACCGTATCAAATGCTTTGGAAAAGTCCAGATATACTACGTCCACAGTCCTCCCTCCATTTAGATCTCTACTCACCTCTTCGTAAAAGGTTGGCAGGTTGGTCTGGCAAGAACGATCTTTCCTAAATCCATGCTATTTGTTGACCCTCTAAAGAAGGGGTAGGAAAACTCTAGCCCTCAACATGTGGTGAAAGTACAAATCCCATCATGCATCTGCCTGTGAAAGTCATGCTTGTGGCTGTCAGAATCTTTCAGTGCCCAATGGGATTTGTAGTTGCACTACAGCTGGAGGGCGGGAGTTTGCCTACCTCTGCTAAATGGTGTCGCTGAACCAACCCACATCCAACCAAAATAGCTGAGGGGTGTGATGTAGTACGGTGTTTGGGCCCTTAAAGTTGTATTATGGGCACTAGGTTGTATCATCAGCACCTGTCCTTTCTGATTCCTGCAGCATTTGTTCTTATCTTATCATCGGATGCTGGAAACCCTCTTTGTTGATGTCACAGCAGCTACAGTGCTCTTCTAGCCTTCGGAGCCAGGTGCAGGGCTGGAAGATAGTGACCTGCGTCACTTCATTTCGACACCCGTTCCTCCCCCCGGGTGATGTTGGTAGCACCGTACTCCCAGTCACAACACCTAGGGGTGGCACTAGGTGCAGCCAGTGCCAGCCGGTGAGGAGGAGGGTTTCCAGCCATGACTATGCCGAGAGCCCAGCCCTCCTCTGTGTGTATGATAACGCAGGGATTGAAGTGTATGTTAAGGCAACCTTTTTTTTTTCTTAGTTTAGTGCTGGATATACAGGGGATGGTTAGACCCTTGGTTACATTTTTATTGCTGTCTGCTTCCCCACTAGTCATATTCACCCCTCTATGTATACTGGTGATTATTGTCACTGAGACAGAAAGTGAGCGGGAACTCAACTATTTTGGGTTGTCATCAAAGCAACAGGAGAAGGAATATCCTCCAATGGGGACAACTGTTCCTATTACAACTATCAAAGATAGATCTCCATTCACTCCGAAATAGTAACTTTCATTTTCTGCTGCCTCTTCAGGACAGAAGGTGAAGGGAAATCTCCCCAGCAGGACACAAAACAACTTGACAGAAGTGTAAACCCTTTCCTATTTAAAAAAAAAAAATGTTTACTTTTTTCTTTACATTTTAAAGAACTTCGGGCAAATAAAATCATAAGGGTTATGTGATCATTTTGTCTAGGGGGCTGAACCACGATCCTGGCTGGCTGTTAGACCGGTCTCTTCAGCCTCTCTACCCCTCCGCTCCAGTGGTCTAATATCCAGCGAGTCATCAGTCATCCTATACAGGATATAGGCCGAGGGGCATTCCATCGTTAGAGTGGAAGGGGACTGGCCTAGGAGCCAGCCAAGATCGTGGTTCAGGTGAGTATAACTCTGTATTTTGAGCCCCCTAGACAAAACAAGCACTTAACCCTTGCATTGCAGGGGTAGCCCCACTGCCAGGGTTGAGATTGTATTTGCTTGGAGTTCTTCTTTAAACTTTAACTGAGTGACAATGCTGCAGTGATTTCATTGCATGAAAATCTTAATTATTCTATTGAAGAACATCTCTGACTGGAACACCAAGGTATTTATAAACAGATAGAAGATTAAAATATCGATTTCATTCATGCTTTTTGTTGTCTTTTACTGATATCTTTTATTAAGATACAAAGTAATATTTGTACTTTCAGTGAAAATAAACCTTCCTAGCACTCCTTAAGCTATGCATGTACCACCTCCCCAGCTGTTTACATACAAATACAAACCTAGTTAAGCTTATCAATACCAAGTCAGGAACACAGAACCTGCAGTGCAGGAAGTGGAATTTACTGTGACATTCTATAATCTTATCTAATCTGCATGCTTGGTCTGAGTTAGTGACTCAGAAATGTACTAAACCCTAAGTCATCAAGGAAACTAGTTTAGTGTTTAGAAGGAGGAGGAGGTCAGCAATGGAAAACCCCATACTGCTTTCAGTGCTGGTATCCTTTAAGTGTCAATAAAACTAAAACCCAAAGAAATGTATCGTAGCGACATTATACTCAATACAAGAGATTTCTGTAGCATTGCGTTCCTTTTTCATTTTAATCAATTGATTTTTGATGTTGATCCTGCCAGTGACCAACTTTTACTGCTAGTGGTGGTGATGGTCTACAAGGTGATCTACCCTCTGCAGCGTTGCCACAGCTTGCTTGCTCCAAAAGCTATGGGAAGCATTTTGATGCACTCTGCACCAGATTTATGTTGCTAGCAGGGGCGTCCCGAGGATGGGTGACACCCGGAGCGGTGTCCGAGTCTCATCCCGCCGAGACGTCACCGCGCATGTGCGCGATGACGTCATCGCGCACGCGCGGCAGTATTCTGATACCTGCCGGTGGCCATCTTGGATGATGGACGCCGGCAGAGAGAGGAGGAGACAGCCACCCCCACTTTTCAGAGGGGGGTGACACCAAAATGACTGTAAGTCATTTTAGTGTCACCCCTCCAATGGTGTCACCCGGGTGCGGGCCGCACCCCCCTTGTGACGCCACTGGTTGCTAGTGTAATGTTGTTGATAAATTAGGTTAAATAGACTCCAGGAAAGAAGACTTGTAACTCCAGGCAAAAAGCTTCACTGTCGCATCTTGAAAAAGTGGTCATGGGGACTTCTTAAGTAGCGATTGTTTTGTTAGGTGATGCTCTAGTTTCAGACAGCCTCAGGACAAGCGCAGATGTAAACAGGCGCAAAACACGTGCAATTGGAGTAGTGCAAGTTCTGGTCAAAACAGGCGCACATGTTAAAATAACATATTTGCACATAAAAAAATGACCTAAGAGGCTAAAACTGTCGCAATTTCTTTGATAAGTTCCCCCAATGAATATAATGGCATAGCACTCAGTCTACCGTGCAGTGTCCTTACTTGGTGAGTTTGATGCGGGGGAGGCAGGGACAGCAGCAGCAGCATGGTCCGGTGTTGATGTGTACCTCCGAGGCTTCAAATTTCTTCACAAGCGCATCTTTACCTCCATAGCCTTCAATTATAACCATCAATATGAGGTAGAAACAGAGTGCAAAATATCTGAGTAAAAAAACGAAGATGAGGATGTTGTGAAAGGAAAAACATTTACAAAGTTAACCATTTGATCACAAATGACACTAGTAGGATGTTTATTACCTCTCCCTAGAATAAAAGGCATTTTCACACGTCTGCTTGCAGGACTACAAATATAACATTGTTCATCATCTACGTTATTAGAATTGTATTAGCAGTCATGCTTGTACTCATAGCTATAGTCTGGGAACATTCTGTCAAATGCAAACATTGGGGCACTCTTCAAAAAAAGTATTTCATGGTGTTTGGTCCTTTTCATATTATTATATTATCCAGTATTATGCATTTTAGCAATTGACTTCAAAGAGGACCTTTACCCCAATAATACTTTAGGGAAATCCTAACCCCCTAATCTACATTTCTCTTTGTTTTTGTTTATTTTCACTTTTTATCGCTAATTTTGCCTAGGTGAGAATGACGTCTCCTCTGCTCCTGAAGCACTCAAACTTAACTTAAACTGAAGGACTCGGAGGAGGGGGAGCTAGTGGTGCATCATCAGGGTGTGGCTTCATGAACCAAGAAGAGATGTCTGGCTTCAGATGATGTCAGGTGCTATCCCTATGGCATTCACCACCTGAGGCAATGTCATTCCGGAGGGGAAACTGGGGGTGCTGGCAGAGAACAGTCATGGGGGGGAGGGGTTGGGAATCACTGGTTTGTCATTCGAGGGGGGGGCCACGCTGTCAGCGGCTCTGTCCGACATCACTGGTTGCCAGGAGCTTGGTGGGGGAGCAGCCAGAGAGTCCTGCTAAGCTCCTGGCTACTAGTCACATCAGTAATTTAGGCGAGAAGCCGCACAGAGTGTCACAGGGTGCTTAGAGCTCTTAGCAACTTGGGATGTGGTGGCCGTCCTCCTGCCTTTCCACCACCCGGCCACCCTCCTGTGGCCCCCCACCACCAGACGACCGCCCCACAATAGATGCCACCTGGTGCAACCATCTCAGTCTGCCTCATTATATGGACATCGATGGGAATGGAGGTGCGGCAGCAGAACAAAGCAGACCACTGCTGGATTTGCCATGCCTGTGAGTATATTTCTTGAACCTAACCCAGCTAGGTAGAGGGGATGTAAAGGGATGAACATGGAAGGGGGTGGGGTGGAGTGCAACTGTTACTTACGTGCCCATAGCAATATCTATAATCCCGGTTGAACGAGGGATCCACAGACCCAAACAGGTAAAAATTGAGATGACCTACAAGAAAACACATAATGACAACTCTGATCCCGCTATTAATGTCATTTGCACTAACAATCATTTTACTACTTGCAAATAAGGCACAAGAGGCTCATTTATAAAAACCTGGTCCGCTGCAGTGTGTTAAACAAACACACACACACACACACACACACACATGTTAACCTGTGTTGCATTAGGGCCATTCTTTTGTTTGAATTGGCTGCCAAACGTGCCACAACAAAACAAAAATATCAAGCTTGCAGCATTTTCGGCATCACAACGCATGTCCGTTGGCAAAATGTGTTGACCATTCTAAATGGCACGGCGTCCCACCATGCATATAACCTGTTGCCATGTGTTACTGCACGGCAATAGTGTGGATGGACCCTGGAAGAACATATCTGCTGGTATGGCCTTTGAAGTGAACCTGGGACGTGCTGCCTGGTACTTCTTGGTATTCAGAATCATGGGACTCCCCTTTCTCCCAAGTGATCAGACTTTAAAAGAATGAAAAGAGAAGCTACAGGAACCAGCATTCCAGTGTGTGTAAAGTCTGTGGAGAATGCGGAAGGACCGGGATAGCTGTTTTTGCTGTCTGTGTGCCCGCTGGCTACATTCGCCCTTTCTATTGGTTCTTTTGATCAATATAGAAAGTCATGGGAAATATGAACTGTCACAGGAGGTGAGGGGAAATCTGTTCTGATGGTAAGTGTCCAAGAGGTGATATCATCTTGTTTTGGAGTAAGCTCCTCTTACTTCCTGCTGTGTCTCCAGGACAGGAAGTGAGGGGAAATCTCCCCAAAAGGACAGAGACAGCAAATGAAATAAATAAATAAAAAACTGGCATGGGTCTTAACTACTCTCTACTCCCTACTGTATGTCGCTTTGCTTTGCATGGATGAAGCTCAGGTTCATTATAAATGTGTGTAATTATGTTAAAACCCCGTCAGGCATCCCATAAATATCTACTTAAATAAGAACTTCAGGAAAAACAATTCTTAACCCTTGCAGTGGGGCTACCCCTGCACTGCAAGGCATTAGTGCTCCTTTTGGTCTGGGTAGGAAAATAACAAAGCTATTCTTACCTGATCCTCGGAGGCAATGGAATATCCCTTGGCGTTCTCACATCCAATACACTGTAATAACCTGAGACTCAGGGATTCCTGGACTGCCAGAGCAGAGGGGGAGCGAGGCTTCATGGACCGGTCTAGCAGCCAGGTGAGACTAAGGTTCGGGTAAGTTATTTTTTATTTCTGTAAGTTCTTTGTTATTTTAGAACCTAGACGAAAACAAGCACTTAACCCTTACAGTACTGGTTTAGTCTCACTGCATGAGTTATAGAAGAACTCCAGGCAGAAATTGTATTAACCCTTGCAATGGAGCTACACCCACACTGCAAGGGTTAACTGTTCATTTTTGCCTAGGGTACAAAAAAAATGATACTCACCCGAACCTTAGAGCCGGCAGCGCTCCCTCCAGCCTGTCTCTTCCCCTGCTGCAGCGATGGTATGTCCCTCGGCGTCCTCACGTCCTATACACTGCATTGGATGTGATGACTCGAGGATCCTGAGTCCACTGCAGTGGAGGGGAGAACCAGTCTAAGAGCGAGCCAGCTCCGAGGATCAGGTGAGCATGACTTTTTTACTGTAGACAAAATCAAGCAGTTAACCCTTGAAACGCAGGGGTAGCCCCACTGCAAGGGTTAATAACATTTCTGCCTGGAGTTCTTCTTTAAGAAGACACATTTTGACAAAACCCTTCAAACCACCCTTATGGCACTACACATTTTATTGTTAAATGCTCAAGGCCTAACAAACCTACTAAAGTCTTTTGACAATTTGCCGACAGCTGTGTAAAAGAAGCAAATTGGAGAAGTTAATTCCTAGGGTTTATATACACTTTAATGGTAATAATAAAGCCTGTAGGTTATAATAATACAACTACTGGGGACATATGCATAAAAGATACAGTATATACCGTAACTGTTCAACTTAAAGTGCACCTTGTATGAAAATACAAGGTCCCCTTTGCTGAGAATCCCCACACCCTGAAAATAAAAAGACCTTATCAAAGCTTCCAAAAAATACATTTAGATAAAAAATAATACTTAGGCCCCATTCACACTGAGCGACATGAAAATCGCGCGATATTGAGCGATATTGCGCGACGAGCGATATTGAGCGACTTGTCGCGCGACATCGCGCAACTTTTTCCTATTGGGCTGTATGCAATCAGGAGCAATATTGCTCGAAATCGCTCGAAAAAAGGGTCATGTAGGAGCAACAAGCTACCAGCGACGAGCTACAAGCGATATTGAGCGACGAGATGTGAACGGCTCCATTGAAATGGATTGGAGAAGCTACATAGAGCGATATCGCGCGGAAATATGAGCGATATCGCTGCAAAAATTGCGCGATAAATCGCTCAGTGTGAACGGGGCCTTACAGTACCTCGGACCCGGCATTCTCCTACTTCCTGGAGGCACCGGTGACATCACTGTGCTTCACCACTGCCTCCCGGGAAAGCTGAGGCTTGATAAGTGGGCAGCACACTGGCATAGTGGTTAGCACTTCCGTCTTGCAGCACTGGGAAGCACTGAGTACCTCCGGCTACTCAAGTTTCCTCCCACACTCCAAAGACATGCTGGAAGGTTAATTGACTCCTCTCTAAGTTGGCCCTGTATGTATGTGAGACGGGGACCTTAGATTGTAAGCTCCTGGGGGGGCAGGGACTGATGTGAATGTGCAACTATGAAAGTGCTGCATATAAACGCTATATAAATACCTGTAATAAATAAATAAAATAATGCATTCCTGCAATGTGGTGGAGTGCATTCTGATGGGATTTTGAGCACTCAGTTTCCTGGGAAGGCAGCGGTGAAGAACAACAATATCACCAGCACCCAGGAAGTGGTCAGAAGCCAGGTCCTAGGTAAGAATTTTTTACATTTTTGTTTCAAAAATGTTTATTTTTGACTGCTTTGACAGGACCTGTCAGCAAAAGGGGTCTTGTACTTGCCAAGTCTGCATTAACCACCGCACTATAGTATCATTGCCTACCACTTTGCGGGGTGCAAAATCCTTTTTATTATGACACAAACAATGAATGAGTAGCGGTGAATACTTTTGCAAGGCACTGTAAATAAGTGAAATAAATAATCAGTGAGAAGCTTGAATGAGTTGCGTGCAGTGTTAATGAGAGTGAACCTAGAAGTCATAGTGAACTTCATTTTATCATGAAGACGTTCCAAGCTTGAGCCTTGATAAATAACAGATTATTACAATTCTAGTAAACTAATCTCCAAAGAGCACCTGTCACATAACAGGACCTCCTAGCTATGGCAATTAAAAATAGTTACTACAACATATAGCTCTTCCCTGTACTTGTTAAACATGGGTTTAGGGGCTATAGGGAGAAAATAACTTGATAAATGACATTAAAGAAAAACTCTGGGCAAAACTTTTCTTAACCCTTCGCAGGGGAGCTACCTTGCACTGCAAGGATTAAGTGTTCGTTTTGGTGTAGGTGCACAAATAACAAGTTATACTCACCTGAACCTTAGAGCTGGCCGCCTGTGATAGCCAATCCCTCCAGCCTGTCTCCTCCTCCGCGGCAGTGATTGTATATCCCTCACCGTCCTCACATGTGTGTATTGGACTTGATGACTCACAGGGCCTTAGATCACCGGAGCGGAGGGGGAGAGAGGCTGGAAGGACCGGTCTAAGAGCAAGCCATCTCCGAGGATCGGGTGAGTATAACGTTTTTATTTATAATCTAGAAATAAATGAGCAGTTAACCCTTGCAGCGCAGGGGTAGCTCCACTGCAAGGGTTAAGAAAATGTTTCTTAAATATAGCTGGTAAGATGTTGTCAACCAAAAATATATATTTCTTGTGATTCCAGTGTATATTATAAACTCTCTTACTGTGGGGGCTGCACTGCTCCATAAAGATGTTCTTCTCTTTACCATACACTTCACTTTTTTTCTAAGGTACAAAGCCTCTTCCAGATAGAGTATGATGGAGATTGTGGTGAGGATGGTGAGAACTCCCATAATGCACAGCTGCACTGTGTCTAGCACTGCAAACAGAGAACAGTAATTAGAATACAGGAATATGGATGGAATGACTCTGATGATGTTGTTGATGTAAAGCAGATAACACAGGCAATGGAAGGTTAATTTATGGAAAGCTCAGAGGCTCATTATTATGGGATCTATTTAAAGAACATCAAAGCGATATGTTTGTTGAAAACAGGCCTTTTCTAGAAGACAAGGTAAGGATCTTCTCAGAGGTTGCACCTCCAGGGGCTGCAGGAAAGGAGCTCACCTAGGGGCGCCAAGCTGTCTCTTTCTGCTGTGAACAGCTTGAAAACAATGTGATCTGACATGAATGAATATTATTAGATGGATGGATCCCGCTCCTGAATCCAACTGACCCGCTCCTGAATCACTGACTAAAGTCTGTGATTAGCTTAGACAAAGTTAAAGAAGAACTCTTCAACACTCTAACTAAAAAATAAAACCAATGGAGTTTCTGAACACTACCGGTTATCTCTTTTCTCTACTATTTTTGCAATGAAGGAGCGGCTAATTTTCATTCCAGAACATGGAACCTATTAAAAATGTGTATCTGTGCTGATCCTCTCCTTCTCTATGCTGAAGGACAACAGAGCCTGCACAGAGCAAAATAAAAGAACCTATATTGCATAATGGGAGCTTTTTGCCATATCTGGCCTGCTCAGCAATCATATGAATGGCCACATAGAGGAGTAAAGTACTTGTGTGTTATGACAACAGTTACAATGATGGAGACATCATAGATCTTAAAACCTGTGTTTTTAATGCCAGAAGTCCGGCAATAGTAGTTGTTGGCACACGTCTCACAGTGCAAAAAGAAATGTAAAATAATACAGTCTTATGAGCAGCCAACCAAAACCAAACAGGTAGTGCATTACAAAAATACTACCAGCATCAAACTGTCTCTCACCTCTGTCTATTCTTTCCCTTGCCTTTGAGATCTGTCATTATATGCCCAGACCAGTTAGACATTGCATTGTTTACATCTTCCCTATGGCCTGCTCTATAAGTGTAGTCAAGCAGTGAGAACTAGGAAAGTTTTTGTTTCATACATCTGTTGCTTCAAAATCTTCACTTCTTGGACATATAATTGACTTCTAAGCTGCAATGCATTCATGCAATCACTGGTGATCACAAAGTGTTGGAATCAGGTAGCTGTTGCATGTGTTTTAATACTATAATACTATATAAAGCACATGTTTTCAGACTAAAAACAAGAAATGCTCTAGATATGCATTTACTTTCCATATTGGCTCAAATTGTATGTTATAGGGCAGCTTCATACATTTATGAAGGGGTTGTCTGCAGAATATTAATCAATAAAGGTATATAAAGCAGATCCCTTGCTTGCTCTCTCTTTGTCCCGTGCAGATGCAGACAAGGTAAATGTACACACAGCAATGTTTACACTGGCCTAGCATCTGGTGACAGTTCTCAGAGCACAGGGAAAGAAATGTATATATTTGCAAAGTTGCTTGTTTTATCCCTGGATATAGTAAATAGCTATTGTATTATACTTCAAGGCTGTGATCAACAGTTAAAAGTCTTTTAGCTAAATTGTTTTGAATTCTCTGAATGGCTTCATATTAGACATACTGTAGGGTAGCTGCGCTGCCTTTGGAGGTTTGGAGAAGCAGGCTTTCGGTACACTGTGATTGTTCATAAGGAAGTAAACAAGCTTGACAGGAACCCTAAAAGACAAATGTAAACATATTAAAGGAATTAAGACATTGGCTGGATACAAGAAACGTTAATAATGCTTATTATTTTTATTTAAAGCAGTATTACACATTTATTCCAAGAATGGCATATAATTGCACCAAAGCATATACAGTACAATTAAATGATCAAGTAATAAAGATAGGGAAAGTATCATTTGCTTTCACGTCAACAACCAATATAGCTGTTAGTTACAGGAATAAATTATTGGATTAGTCCCTTCTCTTCACATTACAACATCTTCTGTTACACTTTCTGAAACATAAAACGTTTCATTGCTTAGCCAAGCAGTGTCCTTAGCTTTCAAACACTTATCCAAACATTGCTTAGATAAGCAGCGAAACTTCTTCAACATTTAAAGTGACTCTAAATTAAGGTGTGAAACCTTAAAAATGCATTCCAGTACCTTAACTATTAACAAAAATGTATATTATTTTTGTATGACTCGGCTGTAGGGTGGCTACTTTTGTTCCCCATGGTCCCTGTGTGTGTTGTAAAGTAGCCACCACTCCAAGCTCACTCCTGTGATGGACTACAATCTCAGTACAAATGAGTAAACTAAACGTAAGATTATAGTCCAGCATGGGAGCGAGCTTGGAGTGGTGGCTACTTTACAATACACACAGGGACAATGGGGAACAAAAGTAACCACCCTCCAGAAGGAAGGACAGTGTCAGCACCAATTCAGAGATGATTTGAGGATCTACAGCCGAGTGATACACAAATAACATTTTGATAGTGTTTAGTGTTAGAACAAGTCCTGTTGAATGTGACTAACTACTACTAGCCATACCATTACCTGGATAAATGAGAACCTTCACAGGCAACACAAAGGACTATATAGTTAGGAACAATCTATACTTTGTAATGTATTATTTTTACTGCATAGTGATCCACTGGTACATGTTCAAGGTCCCTCTCCTTTGTCTGTCATTTAAACATGTATTAGGCCACATTCACACAGGTGTGTTGCTTCGTGCAGCATGAAGGTCCAGTTGTTGATGTGCCAGGAGCTGCGAGAAGAAGTGTGTGGGCAGCTCATATAACTCTATGTAGATGCAGGAGCTGTGCACCATTACATGATGCTTTACGCAGCTCCGAGCTTTGACAGAAGCACACAGTGTACAGACCTGGATGCATCATGTCTGTGTCTAAGGCCATACATTGTCTGTGTGCAGCTGTCAAAACTTGGAGCTGAAGAAAACACTATGTGAGGGTGCACAGCTCCTGCGTCTAGGGTGACATGAGCTGCCTGCACGCATTTTCACGCAGCTCTGGACACATAAACAATTGGCCCTTCACGCTGTACAGGGCAATACACCTGTGTAAATGAGGACTTAGGATGGAAGTAGGGGAATTGAATCTGCTGATTTGTTTTTAAAGTACACCTGTCAGGACAGAAACGTGGGTTGCCATTTCTTGCCTCCTACAAATTCTAGTTTCCTGGCTGTGTCAACCTTCCATATTTCTCAGTAATAAGCCACTACTAAATGAAAATTTAAAAAAATCCAAATTCTTTATTTTTGCATTTTTTTTCCAAGCAGGTGACAGCTGGGCAACTAGCATTTTTAGGAGAGGTCAGTATTGGTGTCCTACATGTTCCTCTTGTAACAAGTTTTCTTTGAAGGTGCTGGGTCCAGAACTGTAATACTAATCCTGGATTCACCACCAACCTGGAACAAGCATGAAACTAGTGAACAACAATGGCAACTAGCCTGAAATGTCTGCACTCCAGCCTTGCATGCTAGTTCCAGGTCATTGACTCACTAGATAGTAAACCTAGTTTTCAGCATGACAGTTCCACAGTTTGCTCCTTTAAAAATAAGTATACAATGGAAGCTGCCATTTTTCTAACCTTAGAGGTTCTGTAAAGATGGAGTCCTGTAAAAATAAACCATCCAATAAAATATATACTGATAAAAACAGAAGCATTATAATTTGTGTAATAGCATTAGTCGTCATGAAATGTAATTACGCATGCTGTTGGCCAGATGCAGAGTTTCCTGCCTGAGTTTACAACATCGTTGCATCCTATTAGATAAAATTGTAAATGTTTTGTAATTTTTGCTAATTTTAAGTACTAAAACAATTTGTCACTGTTGTCCTATAAATAAAGGGCAAGTTCTGCAACATCCGTCTGTGCCCAGTATGGCTGTGTGCCAATAAGCTATAGGATTGGGGCACTGTGTATTTACATAACTACCATCATGTTCACAGCTATAGGCCATCACAAGAGTAATGAAGACAGGAAGGGAGTGAATTATGTCAGAGCAGTAACTGGAAATTTCTGAATGATAGTGGTATAGTAATATTGTAATGGCATTTCCTGTAATGTAAAGTGTAACTCCATCTCCAGGTAACTTTCTATGTCATAAATGTTTTATTTTGCTTTTAAAAAGTCAGTTCATCCAAACATGACATTTTAGTTACAGGTGGGGTCTGGTAGGCTGACATCTGACTTTTCATATCTTTTGAGGAATCCAGCAGCATTGACCTTTTCTGAGTTCGAGTCAAATGTAATATTTGGAAAATATCGCATCATGGTCATTTGATGGAGCTGAGGAACATGGACATACGTATTTATTTCCTATTATCCTCTGCTGTGGTATTCCATTATTACATTCAACTTGTAAAGAAAATATACTAAGAAAGTTTGTTTTTGCCTCCATTCGCACAGAACACATATTCACAAAAGTTTGTGGGACGATTGGCTCTGTAAATTGTTTATAAATAGATTCGGGGCTGCTGATAGAGCCAGCCCACCTGTACTGGGCCCCATCAGTTCAGCAGGGGGCAGAGAAGGGGCTCTTTATTGGAGAATCAGCAGCACATGGAGTAATTTTACCTGCACACCAGGAATTATGAAACAGTTCCCTCCCCAGGCCCCCTTCCAAAGGGGAGGGGGGACTATTTCACTAATTTTGGCAGCGGAGTAATATCAGGAGCTGCGGCTCTTGATAATTAAGTTATAGTGTCGGCCTGCAGATACAATTACAAGTGGTTTGGAATAGATCAGTATCCCAGAACACACGGTAGTGATCTGTTCCAAAATGCATGTAATCATATCACATGTGATTACATGCGAAACTGCCACTTACAGATGCACTCGCTGTCAACCAGTCATTAATTTAGCAGGTTACAGAGGCCACATCTAAACAGCAGATTTGGAATACCTGCCGCAGGAATCCTAAAGTGCACATTCATACATACTGTGAATGTAGCCTTAATAATATTTTCCCCCCAGGCAGCAAAAATTATTCCCTTCGCCTCAAGTGGCAAAAACCATAGACCTGATTTTAGAATCTTTTTCTGGCAACAAACAGAAAAAGTAGTTAGATCTCTTACAATAAATGGATTTTGGACAGGATTTTTTAAAGATTTTTTTATAAGATTCTAAATAATGTCCTTTATTGACAATTACCTTATATAAAAGTGATAAGGTAACAGAAAACGGTGGCCCAAGGACTCAGTAGCTAAATGATTAACTTATACTGAGGTTTGTAACTGTGGGACCGTGAAATTGTCCAGATTATGTGTAATTTTGTACTTTATGTGATGGCATCATCGCATCCAAAAAGGGCACAGTTAGTTACGTGCACTGGGACGAGGCAACTGTTGTTATGGCCCTGTATACTTGTATAACATTTTAAATAGAATTGCAAAAGAGTTACAAAGGTAATGGAGACTGATCCAAGGATTTATTTAAGAATACTGGCAGCTATGGTCACTTGATTTATAACAGGAGTAAGACAGTAGTACATTTTTAACAAGACAAGACAGATTCAATTGCTTATTGGATAATCCTAGAGCAGACGTGAGAATTAGTTTTGATCTTTCCACTACACAAACCCCTATGTAAACCCATTAATGAAGCCACAATTCATCTTGTTGTGCAGGATGTGACCATATGAGCAAACTCATTAGGATAAAGGTAATATGTGTACACATACAGTATTATGTTGTCTGTTATAGTATATGGGCTCATTTACACAGCGTGCACATCCGTGCCACATGCACACCCATGTAGAGACTTGCTCCCAGGAGGGACAGGAGCTGTGTGTAATTGCGTGCAGCTGCCTGTACCTCCCTATGGGAGGATGTGGTTGCACGCAGTTGTGCAGACCCAAACCTGCACATCTATGTAGGACTGGGTGCCCGCATGTAGACGCACACTGTCAGTATGTAGTACGGATGTGATCACACATTTGAATGGGTCCTATGTAATGCTAGTGAGGACTGTCAGAGACTACAGACATTCTAGAAGAAATTATGGTCAGGGACTGTGGACATACTAAAGGGTTTGGTTGGAGCCTAGAAGCATAGTGCAGAAGAAAGTAAGACTAGGGAGATGTTAAAAGAGGTAAACAGAGGTCACTGCAATTATCCCTTCACAAATGAATGCACCCACTCACACTAAAAACTGCTAGGGTCCAACGGCCACACAATGAGTACCAAAGTATAGCATTTAGCCCTAAGGCTACAGGTTTGGCACCAAGGACTTAGGTTCCTTGTTTCAGAAGCTCAAGGACTGCAGTTTACAATTTGCAGTATCTCCAGCAGGTAAAACATCAGATATAATGGTACATAAAGGCAAGACAGGATTAATGCAGGTAAGCTCTTTAGTTATTCCAGAAAAACATTTAAACCAAATTATCATATTGAAATAATATAAACAAAAGGCTCTACTGTTCCATGGAATGTCAAAAAATGATCCATGGAATTATGGAATTCTGATGACTGCCAGTAAAAAAAATGAATGGGAACTGCCTCACTGTGCATTTGTTTTTACTTTGTGAGGATCAATAAATGGAACAGTAAGCAGAACTAGAAAGTCTTTTCATTCTTGCCTTCATGAAATATTCCTACTGATTATTTTACTGTAACAAAAACTTTGAAGATAGTGAAGCGTAATTGATTGGTTAATAGTTATATTAAAATAAACTCTGTGGTCTTTGCTGAACACTCTAAAGGTAAGTTAGCAATTCTACCTTTCGTCCAGTTCAAATTCATCTTGAGAATCCATAATGCAGTTGCCCTCGACTCTCTTTCTCCGCTGTCCACAGCTCTGACAAGCTCCCCTCGGCTGCAAATGGACTTTGCCAAGTTTCTGCAGTACCTCGATAGTGAACCCATGACTTTGAGGTCAATGATCTTCATATTTAAACATTTCGTAAATGTTCAGGGCTTTTTTTTTTACTGTAAAAAAACTACTTTATATTAGAGCTAATTATATCAGATTGGATGAGCTCATTATACTTTCATGTTAAAAATAAGCAATTTTCCATTTTAACTTACACCAATTGGCACCACACTAATTGGCAACATGAAGAATGAGTTTTGTTTAATACAATCCTGCATAGACATTGGGAGCAAGTGAATGCAGTAACCCATTGTAACTGATTGTAATTTAGCGATTGGCATCCTAAAGTAGGCTGGCAAGGGAACCCTGATTCTTGATTGGTTACCATTTACCCTACTGTCCTTTACACTTTAATTAAATAAGCATAAAAGAGATAAAGCATATTTGAAGCACATTAATCTATGTACATATAAAAACATAAAAATACTGTTGTTTCTGAAAATTCCTAAAAGAAAGTAACTGTCATTTGTAAAGTCGGAAGGCAGAAAGTATAAATTATATTCATAATGGAAAAATTAGTAAGGACCAATCATACCACAGTATGTGTAAACTGGAATCTTATTTGTTTGTTCAAACATGTGTGCTAGGGATGTAACCAGAGCTGGTCACCCAGGACACATGCCCTGCATCTCTTGCTGCGTACCCCAGGTCCTGACACTGTGACTGCCTGTGCACAACACATAGGCATTCGTAGCCTATTGCATTAGGGTGTGCACACAAAAGTACAAACACACACACATACATTCACAGCCACACTCCATTGCAGCTTCCCAGGCACTAAGGACTGCAGCTGTTATGTGAGGAATGTAAGTGGCAGGTACTACTGCGTTCTGTATCACTGAGCCGGTCACAGAGAGATCTTTGTAATCTTTCCACCGGCTTACCATCTCACACCTTGTGTGCACACCCTAATGCAATGGGCTGCAGATGCCTATATAACTAAATACATGGTGCCCGCTTTTGATGTTGCTCTCAAAGTTATTAGGGTGTGCCCAGGCACACCCAGCACACCCTGTGTGCATGCCTATGGCACAATACCTGTGATCTAATTGTCATTAGACAGCACAGATCACAGGCAAAAGTACCTTGTCAATGGCCATCACAGCAATCACAAATGTAAACACAGTTACATTTGTGACAACTCAAAATGATATATCCTTCACTTTAAGTCCTGGTGACAGAGATCACCAGGACACACTGAAGGTGAATCTCACCAAATGGGACACATACAGCAATAAAAAATAACAGGTTTTACTACTCTATCCAAAACTAAAAAAAAAAGTTGGGGTTTACACTCACTTTAAATTGAACCTGACAGAATGGATGTAACCTATTACAGCCAGGGCTTCAATCTAATGCTAAAGGCTGCATTGCCTGAACCCCTGAATAGGCGCTGATTAAGGATAGGGAAAGTCTCCAAGTACATAATAGGAGCTCTGTCTGTGCCAGACAACAGCCAATGTGACAGATTCTATTTTACTACTACAGCTTCTACTAGCACATATATTTTGTTACTAAGAAATAACATCAATTTCAATAAGATGCAGCTTTTCAGGGTTTCTTTGAATGAATTTCAGTAAAACAGTACAGTAAATAAAAATACCGTCCTTTTCTATATAGATGCAGAGACCAGTAATAACCATAACAATTTTGATGGTTGTGTAAAAGCTAACTTCATAAAAAAGGGGTATTTTTACTATGAGAGTGGGACTTTTTACCCACAAAGATTATTACATGAACGGAAATGTTTTGACCTTAAAATATATCACATGCACATTAGTGGTTACTTATTACAAACAAGCAACTATATTAATTCAATTGATATCATGGAATAAATTTGTCATGAAACATAGAGGCTGCCATTGCTGAGCTCTTCTTCTGAAACTACTAGTTGACTGTCTGTATTAATAATCCCCTGGCTGTAGGGATGCTCATGTACCAGTTTGGATACCAGTGCCGGTACTTGGCATGCTGTGTGTCAGTAATATCGTATTAACTGGCAACTTTGTATTAAAAAAAATATATATATATTTTCTGTCTTAAGTTTTTCAAAAACTTGTGCCAAAAAATGAAATCTTCAAATGAGTCACCATTCCTTTTATCAAATACTTCGGGATGTCTGCTTTCCAAAATGTGGTCATTTTGGTGGGATCAGACACTGAAAGTATTACAGCCGGGTAGGGATGTTCAGATACCAAGTACCATACTTGGAACAAGTACAGATACTTTTCCAGCTCCAAGACTAGACTAGAGAAAAATTCAAAAGAATATATATAATATATATAAGTGATGCACCAATAACATTTTTTCAAGTACAAGTACTGATACTTGTCCAAGTACTCACAGATACAAGTACTGATACATTTTTTTATTGTCATGTGTTTTTCTAAAACAATACAGACTAATGATTTCTGGACAGTGGTGGAGCACCAGAGCTAGGCCCCGACTGCAACCGCTGCAACCCTGGTAATTCTTGTGAAAATGCCTAGTATCGGCACTGGTATCTGAACTGGTATCTGAACATCCCTAATTGGCATCATAGCAACTTTCTTGTATTCCCCGTTAAACTGCAGTAAGCTCTATTAAACACATAAAGTACTTGGGAGGTATGTTAATTTTGTTCAAAATAAATACATTCAGTAGTATACCATAAAACTTTATTGTTATATGAAAATGTTCTTAAAGCTGACCTCTAAGCAACGGTAACCAACCAAATATGCAACTGAAATACAGCCAAATGATTTCTAATTGTTTTCAGCCAGTCCTGTGATCCATGTATCCCAGCCAGGTTCTTGACCTCGATTGCAGCAGCAAAGCTTAGAGTGCTGACCCTCCAGTCCAGGAACTTCCATGCAGGATGTTGCAGGAGGCCGATATCAACACAAAATCAGGTACTTGTATGAGCTGCATTTAAAAATACAGTCAAAGATTTTTATTGGATGCATAATTGCATTTTTTAACATATCTGCCTGGAGTTCAGTTTATAAATAATATTGTTACTTTTACCTTTCTGTTACATTTTGGTTGTACAATTTTGTAGGTCATTGATATTCTGATGAAATATAGGGTTAATTTGTTAATTTACAACTGGCTTTTGCATTCAGAGCCCGCATCCTGGTGGTCATTGGCCTATGACTTAGACCTCTGCTATTCTGCCTTGGAACGGTCTCTTTTATGTTTGTTACCCAGTGACAGATAGTTCCAACAGAATGTCAAGGTTTTTGTCAAGTTAAAAGTTCATAAAAATGACAGGATGACAAACAAGGATCCTTGACAGGCATGTCCGTCTTTCATAATTACAGATTTTCAGAAGCATTATGTATTTTAAGCTCGTCATTTATATTATGGATAGGCTTGCTATATGCTGAGGTGGATGGATTCTGTAAATATTTGATATGAGGATGTTTCTTTACAGAAATACATTTATTCTGTAAGGTAAGTAGAATAACTGGCACAGGACACAACACAGAAGAAGATGATATTTCTTTATTGATTTTCGTTATATATGTGAATACTCAGCTTCTTGAACATTGCCAGGAGATGATATCATATAAACTCAGCTTTCTATAAAATGATGTGTTTTCCATGAGTTAGTTCAGCTTTAATAATTAATGAAACAAACTGTAATATAGTTATGTAATAAAGTAATGTAATATAATATAGTATATATGTATATGTCAGGAATTCTTTTCTGGAAGGTTGGCTCAGTCTGTTGTTTGTCCCCTCACTTCTCCTCTTACTATTATTTTTTTTGCTGAGGTTCCGTGGTATATAGGTCTTTTTATAAGGAGTGATGCTTTTCTCTCAGGTGTAGGTATGCCCTAGAATTGTTCTACCTTGTTCCGTAAATAGTTATTATTTTTAAGCGGTCATTTTATATGCAGTAACTGATAGCAACCAGTGTTAATTAGCTTATGGATACTGATTGATTTTTAAGAAATAGAATTAAATCCTAAGAATGAGAACTTTTTATGAAATAAGGTAATTTGTGGTACAGTTTTCCTAAGCCAACTTGAACTACTTCATACAGAATCAAGATACCTGCTACCTTCTGAGGACGTCGTATGACGCAACGCATGAGGGGCAGGCTAGATGAGACCGGGTGTATGTCTTGAGGAGATTATTATTATTATTATTATACAGGATTTATATAGCGCCAATAGTTTGCGCAGCGCTTTACAATATAAGGAAGACATTACAGTCACAATACAATTTAAGACAAGATGGTTAAGGAGGGCCCTGCCCGTTAGGGCTTACAATCTAAAAGGGAGGGGCAAGCGATAAGAGATAAGAGCGGATTTCTTTTGCAGGCCGGCTGTTTTATTCCTTATATGTGAGTCCCTACTTATTGTTTTATCCAATAAATCGTTTTACTACTTCATGGAGATCTTTGTGTTTTACATGTTAATTGAGCCGTGATCCAGTCTGGACACCGATTGGTCGGAGGACGGGAGGGGCTTCTATTACTGAAGTTTTGAAGATTTTCATTTGAACTGATACTTCTTTTTCTTCTGGAACACTTGGGAGGTTTACTATCCCAGTCTGATCCAGACTATCAGGACAGATACTTACCATTAGCAGGACAGCTGGAGTGAATGCACAGCCTCACACAGGTGGATTGCAATCTCACAGAAAAGTTTTTTTATATATAATTTTATGATTGCTTTGATCACTGGTTTGATGAACTTGTTGGCTTCACTTGAAAGAAGTTATTATTTAGTCGCTAGTCTGATTAGCGTTTGTTTTTTGAACACTCATTTACTTATAAGTACACTTTGCAACAATTGTATATCACTGCTTCTGCGGCATTTATTTCAGTTATTTTTTGGTCGCCTTATATAGATGTGATTTATTCACTCGCTTTTCTTATTAACTGTTTATTTAAAAGGCACATTTTTTGTTGCTATATTTTGAAGTGATTGTTCACCGTTTTTTCTCATTAATGGTCTATTCAAATGCACCTTTGAGCAAATTATCACGTTGAAATTTTGTGACAAGTAATTTGATACACACACGG